AACTGGCCATAGACAGGGATCCAGTGTTTCGGTGAGGCTGCTGGGATATGCTGGTGGTTAGGGTCCCAGTGAAATGTAGCCACAAGGAGGGATGTGTGCATTTCTGACTCTTCTACTGTCCAGACCAGCTGGCTGTTCTTTCACTGACATTTTCATGTCTCAGGAGGAATGGAATCTCAGCATTCCCATATTTTGAGTTAGACACTTGGTTTGTATTTGAACAAATGATCTTCCTTCCTGTTGAAACACATTCTTATTCTGATTTGTTCTTTTCCATATACATTCAAGTTCCCCATTCTGTTTTTCTATCAACCTGTTGAGGTCTAAGCTGATATACACTAAAGTACATAAATTTCAAGTATTTAGTTCAATCCATTTTTACTTACGTGTCCACTTGTGAAACCAGCACCCATAGCAGGATGTGGATCATATTTCCCCATGCCCTTTCCAGTTAGTAGTCCCAAGGGTAAGCACTATTTCAACCTCTACCACCGTAGACCAATTTGGGCTGTTGTAGAATTTCTGAAAAGTGGAGTCATAGGGAGTGAGTATACCATTGGTGTTGTGGGATGGGATACCTCAACTCAAGACTATGTCCTCTTTTGTTTTCATTTCTTTCAACTTTATACTATAATTCATCCATGTTGTTGAGTAAAGGATTCCATTGTATAATTTATTCAGCCATGCAACTGTTGATGGAAATTTAAGTTGTTTTCAGCTTAGGACTATTATTGATGAAAAGAACATTTCTGTACATGACATAAATACTAATTTTGCTTGGGTATATACTGAGGAGTGGAATTACTTAGTGATAGGGCATACATATATTTTCTTTGAGTAAGCGCTGCCAGATAATTTTCCTCAGTTGTTAAAACAATTAGCCCTTCTAAAATCCTCCACTATTTTTAAAGATTTATTTTATTTATTTATGTATATAAGAGCTCTGGTGTAGGCCGGAGGTGCAGGGGGTGAGAGGATTCAGCAGAGATAGAGTGGGGAGCAGAACAGGCAGATCTACTGAAATACACTGCTGAGGGGAGCAGTGGGCAAGACAGGAGAGGTCTGCTGTACCATGTGGGTTAGCGCCCTTGCTCCGGGATTGAACTCGTGCTGCAGTGGCTGCCAATAGCTTCATAATGCTGAGACTTAATCCCTTGCACCACCAGCAAGGCCCAGTCCTCCATTTTTAGTATACAGTTTTCCTCTGCAACATTTTTATTTCAGTTTGGTGATGACACTAGTTTATATGGGACATTGAGATATTTGCTAGTCCATCTCAAATTAGATATGTGTGTACACACACTAGTATTTTATATTCATTTAATATGGATTCAGAGGTTTATTTTTGCCTTGTTATATACTTGTGATCTTAATCATTGGGGCCTTAATTGCTACTAAGTATTAAAAAACAACTTAAAAATATTATCACATTAAAGATTAACTATTGAGTGGCTTTCTGATTTTTTACTTAGGAGTGAGCATGAGTATCAACTGTGTAGATGTGGTAATTACTTCTCAGCCAGAGTGAAACCAAAGGTGGAATTGCTCAAGGAGAATCCCCTAGATTCTGTCTCTGGCATTTTTCTTTGCAACAGACTGAACTGTATCTTATGGGTGATGTTTTCTCTCATTTATCCTTTATTCCTTTGACAAGTAGTAACTCAGTATATGAAACACTGCTTAGAATCCTTACCACTGAGCATTTAATTCTGTCAACTGTGTATCAGCATTGGTTGAGAAAGAATAGAAACTTTTGTAGATTACAAAGTAAGTTCTGTAGTTAATGTCTATAGTAAGTTCTATAGTTAAAGTAAGTTCTATATTTAATATATTAATCTAGTATCAATTTACATCTGGGAGCTCTTTCTCCTCTCTCCCATTTTCTTTTAGCCAGTCACACCTAAAGTTCAGTCATGTGTGACTCCTCATTCTCTCTCCTCTGTACATCCTGGTCTGTTGTTACCTTTCTGTCTCCCAAATCCATCCTGTTTTCCTGCTATTCTCAATTTTAATCTAAAACCTCCTTTCATCTCAGCCAACAAATTGTTTTTCTAATTCATGGGTAATGCAGCAAAAAAGAACATAAGTTTTGAAGTGTGACCTTGATTCAGATTGGTTCAGAGCTTTCTTCTTCCATGTAACCATAGGGACTTTTGCAACTTTTAAACTTCAATTGTCCCTCTATTAGATCTAATTTATAGAGCTGCAATGAGGATTAAGTGGGACTGTGGAGTGTTTAAAGTGTCTGGCAGGTAGTACATACTTAGAAACTGCTGGTTCTTTCCACCTTCCATTCTTCCACTTCACTCTAACCTTTATCCACCTTTCAGAGCCTAAAGGATATCTCAAACTATGTCATTCCCCTTGTCAAAAACCTCCAGTGGCCCCCTCTTGCCTCACCTGTTAAATATAAGCACTTTTGCCTGCCAATCAGCACCCCAGTTCTCTAACTTCAATTTCCAACTTTCCCTTCTGTTCTCCATGTGTTCTACTTCAAGTATTAACCAAATTCACTGTTTTATAATTCTGCTGCCACTTTTATATATAATGTTATATTGAAGTCCTACCCATCCTTTAAATCCTGCCTCAAAAACCATTGCGTTCACAGAGCTACTAACAATCTGGAAGTTGTTTCTCCCAGTCTTGAAAGTCATTGCACTTTGAGGAGGCAATATTGTGTTCATTCTTTGAAGCCTGGAAGCTCAGGTCCTGCTACTGATTGTCATTCTGGGGGCATTACTCTGTCCCTGCATCTCAGTTTCCCTTGCAAAATGGAGACAATGCTGCCTACTCATAGGGTTGTTATGAGCATAAATGAGATACTACGTGTGTCTCAATTTGAATAGTGTCTGGAACTTAGAAAGCTTAAATGTTTCTATAATGTTGATATGGGTAATCATTACTATATTATCAGGATCTGTATTTTACAAGGACTTTAAATTAAAACCTATTTGAGACAGATGGAAAGTGACATAGACTAGGGATGATGATTCTTATACGTGATTCTAGTATTGGTTCCCAGTACTAAACAAGCTGCATGATGCTATTTAGTCTCCCTGAACTTTTCTTCAGCTGCAAAATGAGGGAGCAAGACAAAATTCACTTAAATTCTCTTTCATTTCAACTAACTATATGAATGTCAAGTTAGATACCTCCAACTTAAGTCAACTGAAATAAAATTTTTTACAAGTTTTTTTTCATTTTTGCACAATGTATGTTATGCATTTTCATTTTGGTTATATATTCCCCATACAATTCCCACCCCACCCCCTTATTCTGACCCTAATCTCTCTCCTCTCCCCCCTCCCCCTTCCCCCCCGCCCCCCACATCTCTGGTCTATAGTTGCTTGTTGATTTTTATTTTTACTTTATTACAATTAGTCTTTTTCCTGGTCCCTTATTTAGGTTTTCTAAATTCCTGCTATGAGTGAGACCATCCGGTATTTTTCTTTTTCTTTCTGGCTTAGGAAATAAAATTCTTAATTAACTCTCCTCTACATGCCTTCCCATCTCTTGCCTGTACTTTTATCAGATTCATAGTTCACCTTTCTGCACCCATCCTTGCCCTCTTTTAGCCTATTTTCTGCAGAGCCATAGGGATATTTGAGACATAAGCAAGAAAACATAACTTTCCTGCTTAAAACTCTCCCTTGTTTTCTTAAATGACATTCAAACTCCTTTACTCCTTTAAACTGCTCTCTCCCTTTAGGCTTCAGCTGCATTGCCTTTTATTCTTTTCCTGCTAACTCACCAAACTCATGTCTTCTTTTGGCCTTAGAACTTGCTATTCTCTATGTGTGGGATGTCCCCCAGATGTCAACATGACTTGCTCATTCTTGACATTTAGATCTCAGCTTTGTTTTATCTCAGTGTTATCATACCATCCTGATTTTTCCCTAAGATTTACCACTTTCTCAAAGTAGCTTGCTTGCCCTATTCATTCATTCATTCATTCATTCATTCATCTCTTTCCCCCATAGTAGAAATTAAACATCCTCATAGGTAGGCCCTATTTCCTAGTGCAGTGTCTAGTACATACTAAATATATAAGGAAAAAAACTTGACTGACGATGTGAAGAATTAAATATTAACCCATATTTAATGAGATATGAAAGGTTACATTAATTACATGAGCCAAGTATGTGTGTATGTGTTAATATGAAGGCTTGTTGGTTTTCTCTCATTTAATCCTTCGTACGGAATAAACATTACCAAGTGTATATGCTTGTGACAGAAATCTAACTGCAAATAAAACAAAAGTAGTAATACATACAGATTGCCCCACCCCGACCCCCATGATTGTCGAATTTACCATCATCTCCCTCTCCTCTTCTACATTACCACTTTAGAGAAATTTTATCCTCTCTGTGCAAAAGGATTTCCTTCTCTCTGATCTTTCCCCTATGGCTTCTAATCTCCAATAACCGATTGTTCAGACTGCAGCCAGAAGCTTTTCAGTCGCTATTATACCCATGCTCAAAAACCTACGGAGTTTGTCATTGTTCTCAGTATAAAGACCAGAGACTGCCCTGGTCCACCACCTCGGGTCACGCCAGGCCACACTCCCTCCCTCCGTTCCGTTTCCCGCCGGCCACCTGAGTAGCCTCAACACCCAGCTTCCAACTCTTCTACCCGGCGCCCTTGTCGCCAACTTCTTCAGGCTCTCAGGAGACTGTCTCCTCCTCAAGGACCTTCTCCCTGATTAGGCCAGCCTCACGCCCCATCAACACCCCCACATTACCAAGCACCTGTCTTGAGCGCTCTGGTTTTATAAATACATACCCCGCAAAATGACAACTTTACTTAAACAGACACTAACGCTCGCTGTTTGCGGAAGAAACACCCTAATTAGCCGCCCAATTACTCCTCGCCCCTCCCTAAGGCCCGCGGCGCAGCTATTACGCACTAAGTAGGCGCCGCCATGTGAGACATTCCTGGGCGCCTGCGCGACGGAGCACGCATGCGCAGAGCGGCGAACCCGCTGACAGATTCGCGGCGGCGGCGGCAGCTGCGGCGGCCCCGGCCCCGGACTGCGGGGAATGGAAGTCCTAGGTCTCTGACTGAGCACCGCCCCCGCCTCCCTGCCCCGACATGGCTCAGGAGAAGATGGAGCTAGACCTGGAGCTGCCTCCGGGTACGGGCGGGAACCCGGTGGAGGGCGGCGGCGGTGGCGGGGGCCTCAGGAGGTCTAACAGCGCCCCCCTGATCCACGGCCTCAGTGACACTTCGCCGGTGTTCCAGGCCGAGGCGCCCAGCGCCAGGCGGAACAGCACGACGTTCCCGAGCCGCCCCGGCCTGCTGCTGCCGGCCTCCCCGGTCCGCATGCACAGCAGCCGCCTGCACCAGATCAAGCAGGAGGAGGGCATGGACTTGATCAACCGCGAGACGGTCCACGAGCGCGAGGTGCAGACCGCAATGCAGATAAGCCACTCCTGGGAGGAAAGTTTCAGCCTGAGTGACAACGACGTGGAGAAATCCGCCTCCCCGAAGCGCATCGACTTCACCCCGGTGTCACCGGCCCCCTCACCCACCCGGGGCATTGGGAAGCAGTGTTTTTCACCATCCTTGCAAAGTTTTGTGAGTAGCAACGGGTTGCCTCCAAGTCCCATTCCCAGCCCCACCACCCGGTTTACTACGAGGAGAAGCCAGAGTCCCATCAATTGCATTAGACCAAGTGTTCTTGGACCATTGAAAAGAAAATGTGAAATGGAAACTGAGTATCAGCCAAAGAGATTTTTCCAGGGCATCACCAACATGCTTTCTTCTGACGTTGCACAGCTGTCAGATCCTGGTGTGTGTGTGTCTTCAGATACCCTGGATGGAAACAGCAGCAGCGCGGGATCTTCTTGTAACTCACCAGCGAAAGTCAGCACTACCACCGACTCTCCTGTGTCGCCTGCCCAAGCGACTTCTCCTTTTATTCCAGTAGATGAACTTTCATCTAAGTGATGCACCCACCCATCCTGAGACTTGGTTTTTTGTTCGTTCATTCGTTGGTTTCTTTTCTTTTTCCTTTTTTTTTTTTTTTTTGCAATGGAAAAAAATAATCAAGTTGGGAGTAAGCACTGTACTTTGTCAATTAATTTGAGGCTATTTCCTATTGGACTCTTTTTTCGTTTTTTGGAATTTCCGGAATTGTTATTCTAGAGAACTTTTATGTCAGATTTCTGCGGATGCCCTTGAATTCAATGTAATATTTTCAGACATTTTCCCAATAAGTGTGTTGAAGCATACATCTCTTACGCTGCTAATATGTCTAAATACATATGTTATCCCTTGATTTTTTTAAATAATTGAGAGCTCTATTTATTTATGGGATTATTAAGTTCTGATGAAAATATAAATGTTGAATTACTCAGCATAGTAAACTGATGTTTTAAAATTCCATACTTCATGCCCACACTAATTTTTAATGTTGTTATCAGTGATTGCTAATTTCTATTTGATGAAGAACAATAACCTATCTATTTCCAGCTATTTTAAAAATATGTTAGTTATAACATATCAATCCAGTGGTTGTCTATTTTACCCAGGAATCCTTGGATATTTAACTTTCTGGGTACAGAAGTGGAGGTGGGTGGAATGATAAAAGAACAAAATAAAGTTTGCAACAAATCTTTTAAAATTAAATACACAAAAGTAAATGTATTTAAGAAACACTTTCTAATGAAATTTTAACAATAATTCTAAGACATAAAAATATACTGTATAGAAAATGAAAATTTTCTTTTTCTTTTTAACCAGAAGGTGCATTCTGTTGCATAATAATCCTAAAGTGAAATGGGACAGTGCCTTGCCTTTTTATCCTGCTGTATATGTTGAAGCCAGGTTCTTTGTATCACTGCAAAGTTAAAAGTTTTCAAATGTAGAAAATGTATGGGAAGTCCTGTTGAACTTCATCAGAGCTCCCAGGTCAAGCAAATGCTCTCAATCATTGGTATGCTTTAAAATATCCGATAGTGCCTCAGTGAAAAATCTTTGCCAGCGAGGAGCTAGGGAAACTTTTGGCTGCCTTTCTGTTCTGCCCATCTGTTACCTTCCTAGTTTTCCCTGACTCAGGAAGGAAGCAGCTGTTTCCTTGCCAACAGGTCCTTCCTCTTTACCTCCCAGCAAACTAGGGCATTTACCTCCCAGTCAGTTAGGCAAAGGTACACTGTGACTCAGATTTCTCATAGTGAGCAACAAGAGGACTGGTAATTGTTTCAGGTGCCTCTGTGGTTAAAGCTGCAGCTGAAGTTGACTGCCTTGAGGAGGATGTCAGTTAATTAAGGGTCAATATCTTATAAGAGAAAATCAGTGGAGAGTCAGTAAATCATTTGACTTAGTAAATCATTTGACTTAGGTTTTGTTAAAAGTAGAATATGAAATGTTCTTTTCTCTGTCTCTTAAAATCCAGACAAAATATGAAACTAATAAGAAATGTTTTTATGTTGTGTTTACTATACCTCCTATATCTTTCTTAATCAGATAGATATAAGTAGACAGACAAAGGTAGACAAAGGACAAGGGGAAAAAATGAAAAGACTAAAAGAGAGAATAAGATAAAAGCTCTGGCTTACTTTTTTCAAGTTATTGCCTACAGAGATTAACAACTATGTGGAATTTCTACAACAATGGGAATAAATGGAACTGGTCAACTTTTGACAGTTGCTTCAAGAATTCAGTGAAATTACATCGAGGGTAAGACAACCACAGGTTTAAATTCCCTATTCTGGATAATAGTGTTCATGTGCTCCAGTTCTCACCTTGCTCCTCAAATTCAATCCTATAGGTCCAGCTTCCTCACCTTGACCTACTTCCAGAGGTCTTTAACCTGATCATCTTCAAAACAAAATGTATTATTTTCTCATTTAACCTACATTCTTGAATTACCTAAGTTGATATCTAATTTCCTATACTGAAAATCATGGGAAGCATCTTTGACTTTCCCTTTCCCCTACCTGTCACATTCAGCTTAATAACCAAGTCCTATCTACTTCTGAAATGAATCTTAAGCCTGCCCCCTGATCTATTGCCTCAGATTTAGCTTAAGTTTCTAAGTGATCGCCCAGTCTATTTTCTTACCTCATTTTTGGTCTTCACACTGCCTCTAAAGTGATCTTTCTAAAATATAAACTTGATTTCTCCTGTTTGAAAACTATATGCTTCCCCATTCCTACCTGGCATATGATAAGATCCTTTGCGAACCGGCTGTATTCTAAAACACTATCCACTAATCATGTCTCAGTACACATCCTTCCTCCTTAACCTGTAAGCACTAGACTAGATTCTCTAAATATTTTTAACCTTTAGATAGATGGTTTCCTTCTCCCTAAAAATACCAATTCCTTTGCAGCCAGGCAAATACTATGTTTCTTCTTATTTCACATGAATTTAACTATGAAATAATGTGTCCCTGCTAATTATAAAAATAATTAAACAATATAGATACCTATATAGTAAAAAATTTTACTATGTGCAATTTCTCTTCTCTTCCCATAAGTGATTTCTGTTAATTAGTATAAAGTATACATGCTTTGCACTTCCCTCTATATCTGTGTATAAGCTCAGGAAACCAACATGTCATTGACATTTCCTTTCTTTCACTCTATCTAATCATCACCAAGTCTTACTGATTTTATCTTCCAGAATTTTCTCATTTTTACCTCTGCTGCAACCCTGATCTAGGCTACCATCACTTCCCTCTTAAGCTTCTAAAGCAGCCTCCTAATTCCCATTTATTTCCACCTTATATTCATTCTGGTCAACTACCCATTCATTCTTTGTGTAGCAACTACAGTAATCCTGTTAAATCTGCAGATCTCATCCTTCATCTCTCAGTTCAAAGACTTTGATTTACTTCCTTTTGTTCTCAGTGTGTATCAGAATGTGTTAATTCTGGCGAGGAGGCCTTATGAGATTGGGCCCTTGCCTTTCCCTTCCCTTGTTTTCTGTGCCCCACCCTCACTGGCTTGCTTCCTTCTTGTTAAATCCCTGTTCTTTCCTATTCTAGCTCCTTTTACTTGATCCTTTTTCTTGAAGGTGTAGAGAGACCTTTATCTGTAAGCTTATTTTTCTGTATAGGTGGTAAATTTTCAGTCAGATGAAGCTGTATGCATTTATATAGATAATATGCATTATATGTTTCATAACTTAAATTGTTACTCCGTAGGATGTAAGGACTTAGATCATGTAAGAATTATCCTCCAAAAAAAACATTTTTAAGGTATTAGTAGTGCTAATCTATAAATTTTTTAGAAATCTCAAAAAAAGCACATATTAGCAATTAGTTAAAGTAGTTTGTCATATGTAACAAACCTCTGTAATTTATTTTATTATGTTTGTTTGAAACAATGGACATGGAGAAAAATATTACTGGTCACCAGATTTCGTGGCTGCTGTTTATCAGAACCTTTGAACATACTTACAGGGTTGATTATAATCAAGAATAACCTCTATCAGGATATTAGGTTGCCTTAAGTGATTCACATTTATGCATTTAGTGGGTTACATAGGAGTAAGAGACCATTCATATATTTGGCAGTAAAATAGGACATGGTCAAGGCTTATCAGGGAAACAGGACTGAGAAGTTTTTTCTTATGAACATGTTCATAGATGAATGGAAAAAGTTTGAGGATCTAAGAGAGAGGTGGAGATGGGAGAAACAGTTGTCAGAATAACAAAGAGATATGTTAACCTACATTTCCTGGGTAATATCAGAAAATAGAAGAAAGAGGTGGCCTTGGGAAATAGATCTGGAAACATTTATTTCTTTCAAAACAGGAAGGAGAGTGAGAAGACTAGACAAAGATATCAGTAAATGATGGCTTGATTTTCTGTTGGAGAAGTTTATAAAAATGAAGGGAGGTATATGAAAAATAGGAAAAAATTGTATTGAAGAAATTGCTTATATTTTCTAATTATTGAGGAGTCTAGGATAATTGAGGGTGGGGCAGGAGTAGATCTGGAAGCTTGAGTAAAGTAAAGGTTCTGTAAAGGATCTATGAAGAAGTGATTAAGAGTGAGTAGAAAGTTTATGGAGCCACTTTGGGTGCCAAGTGGCAGTTGTATGGCAGGCGTAAAAGAAGCAGATTGGACTAACCAAGTTTGGGAAATGGTTAAGTAGGTATTGGGTAAAGTCCTGAAGCAATTAAGGAGGCTTCTGAAAGTGTAATTGATGGGTTGAATAAGGCTTTAAAGATGGTGAATGAGGTCAGCAATGAGTGACAGAATAGACCATTTATTTCAAGGTCTTGCCATTCCAATCAGCCATGACAAAGTATACAGAGAATCTATATCTCTGTAGAACTTTTTTGCAGTTTTGCCCATAGTTTTCCATGGCTGTTCTTTTGTTTGTTTGCTTGTTAGATTTTTTACTTAGAGAATCAAACCTTGAATTACACTGACTTGATAAAAAATCTGAGTCAGATTGTTCACTGTAGCCAAGATAAAGTTTTCTGTGCTTTCTCTAATTTACCATCCAAGTAAAAAAATTTCTTAAAAGCTGAAATCACCTTTATATGAAAAGTAATATATAAAGTATTTGTGTGTCAGGTGCTGCTTTAGGTGCTAACCTAATGTGTCATTTCATTTTATCTTCATTACTGTTGTCTAAGGTAAGTGCTATTATTTTATCCTCACTTTATAAATAAGGACAGGAACACACAGAGAGGTTAAGGAACATCCTCAGGTTCCCAGAGCTGGGAAGGAGGCAGCATATTGTTGTGGTTAAGAACACAGACTGTGGAGCCGGGTGGCTGTGGTAAGGATTAAATGGGTCCTGCATGTACAGTTCTTACAGCAGTGCTTGGTAATTTCTGTAAAATGGTTAACCATCATATTATGATGGTGGTGGTTGTCATCGTCAACTAGCATGTACAGGCTGAGAAATCTTTTCTTTGTTATCCTTGACTGACGATACTCACACTTTCACACCCAGTAACTTAATACTCTCCACCTTTCAAGTCAGCCTGTCCTTTTATAAGCTGGATGTTTTCAGTGTTAAGAGTCTTTCTTACACTGCGCAGACTTTTCCCTCTGTAATATCCACCATTTAATTCAAGTCCATCTCTCTAGAAAATGCACAACAAACTTTATCTCTCTTTTTTTAGACGATAAACCCTTCACAAATCAAACATTGATTCCTATGTGATTACTTCATCTTGCTTTTGAATTTGAAAGATCTTGAGCAATCTTCTTCACTCTCATGCCTCTGTGAAACAGGGCCTTCATTGCTTGGCAGCTGAGATTTTCACAAGATTGTGATCCCTTCAGTTGTGTTTGCCTTCCCCAGGAGGAAAGGAAGAGATGGCCTAATACCATGGGCCATTACCTGTGCCCTTAAGAATTAGCTCTCGTATTCCTTGAGTCTAGTCACTCAGTGCTTTGCATGTCTGAACTCCCTTAATCCTCATGACAACCCTGTGAGACAGGGATGCTATGATTGTCCCCACTTAACAGATGAGAAAAATACATTTCATCAAGAGATGAAAAAATATCTCAAGTTCCTATTTTCTATTTTTTTTTTTTTTGCATTTGAATTTAGGTCCTTTTTATATTTTCCTTATGAACAGACTTTTTTCCTACTTAAGATCAGGTCTTTTTTTCAGCTTGCTTGTGCTGCCACTTCTGTTTTGAATGAAATGACATGTTTAAGATGATGACTTTGGACAAGATCTTATTAGTAGAAGCTATTGGGAAGGTTTATTACTTTTCTTTCATAATAGGTAAAAATTGAGAGTGGTATAAAGCTAAATCTTGGTTTCCATATTTTTAAACTGATTTGCTACTTGAAATAAGAAATCCCTAAGCACATTTTATATTATTTTCTTTTAAAATTGCTTTGCTGTATTTCAGTTATCCTTGGTTGTCCTTAGATTATCACTCCTAGGGAAACAAAAGCAAGAATGATTTTGACTTCCCTCTTGCTCCCCACCACCCCAAACCCTGTAAGTTAAAAATACATCATTTTTAGAGAAAAAGTAATAGCAGGATTTAAAGAATATTACCTAAATAATAACAAGCTTACCCTCTCTCAGCATTAGAAACTCTCCGCAGAGGGTGGAGATTTAAATTCAGAACAACTGAGCAATATCTGAGAAACTATTATTTCTTTAACTTGATTTCATTAAAAGTTCCTTCAGTGACTGAAAGGAGCTAAAAAGGAAAACTCCCCTGTGAACATATTTTAGAGCTGGTGCTTAGACTTCTGGTTTTTCCCAAAGATTTACCACCAAGTCCCTGCATTTTGAAACAAACTTTGAAAAGCCCCAATTTGTTCCAAAGAGTTAGTATCATTTTTAGAAGTTCAATAAATATTTAGAAATCACTTTAAGTGTGACTTTTCATTCTTTATGATCCTTTGTGAAAATAATTTTTAAGGTAGGTAGTTAACATCAAATACTCAAGGCTTATGCATGTAAAACTTGCACATTCATGCGTGCATGCACACACACACAGAGACACACACTCAAAACTCAAACTTACTTTATAACAGCCTTGTGCTGTGCGTTTAGAGTCATTTCACTCTCAGATTTCAGATTTCTTCTCACTTTCCCCTCCTTGGTGTTTTTAGATAGGTTGCTCTTTGTAAATGATGCACACTCACACTCGCACACACACATACATTTACGTACATTTGGAAAGAGTGTTTTGTGCATTTATGTTGTACCAAATTTCTAAATTCCATGTACTGTCCCAAAAGAGAGAGAGGTATTTAAAACTCATACCTAGTATTTCCTTGTGCTTGATATATATCTTTTCCTTTTAAGAGAATAGAAATAAGTACTAGATGTGAAAATCAGTCATTAACAAATACTAAGGCAATATGTCTGAAACTAGAGAACAGAGAACTTATTGCTTTTATTTACCTGTCAATTTTTAGTTCTATATCAATGCCAGGGATAATTCTGGTTCTTTTCCAGTTGCCTCCAATGGTCTTCCAAACAAAACTAACATCTAACACTTGGCCAGCAAGACATGTTGTGAAAGACAATTGAGAAAGATCTTTTGTGCCCTCACAAAGTAAAACGGTTGATTGAGGTAATGATTCCTGTGATTCAGGCGATTCCTCCCCCTTGCTTTAAGGACAAAGAATGATTTTACTGTTGCAATGCCGGGAGGATTACTGGAACTCCAGAGTGATAAATAGCTATTGACTGTTGGTGTCCTTTGGAAAGAAAAATATGAGATGTTCAGGAGGGAATGGGAGTGAGTAGATGATGGATGGATTGGCTATTTCTTTTGGCATGGAAACCCTCTCTTAGATTATCTTTACGAGCTCCCTGTTAAGTAAAGAGTGACATTGATGGTGGTTTACTTCATGAACATTTATTTACTTTTTGTTCTGCTTCATCTGGGATTTGGAGTTGAATCAGGATGTGTTTTAAAATTTCTTCGTGCTTCTTTCTGTTAATTTCTTCTACGTTTTTGAGGGGTGAGGTGGGAAAGAAGGCTAATAATAATGGTACTAATTATCAGATTGCTTTGAGTCAAGAATTAAAATTTTTGAAGCTCTGCCTTACCATTTATGCTAGATTTCTAGCTCTGAATTAAGATTCTAAACCTATCTATCTAGTCATTCTCAAGACTCATTTTTACCACACTGCTTACCACCAGATATTTCTAAAATGCAAACCTAAAATTCAACTTAAATGGCTACCCCTTAACTTCAGAATTAAATCAAATTATGCAGTATGCATGAAAGGTTCCACTACCTCCACATACCCCTGAACGCCAGGATTGTGGTCATGCTGAGTTGCCTGAGGTTTCCAAAGCTGCCTTGCTTACATACATTGGCAGTGCTAGGATAAATTGTGTCCTCTGCTTTGAGTGGCTCTTCTTACCTTCTTTCTTCACAGACCCCACCAACCCCCTTCTCCTTAACTCCCTCCTTAAAACTTTAGTCCAAGGGGTACATCTTCTGGAAAGCATTTCTCTAATAGCCCCTACCTCTCAAGCCCTGGAAGCTTTCCTCTGCAATTCTGTTATACCCATGGCTTCCTGCTGTGAAGGCACCTAACAGGTAAAATTGTGTTTGTATGGTTCTTGTTTTTTTGCCCAGTACAAAAACAAAGCCTCAGCCTTTTACTTCTACTCCTGGTGCCTGTGCCCTGCACTGTGGTTACTTAAATTTAG